GAGAGGTGGTCTCGAGTTTCCGGTAAGTGAAGCGAGCTACACACGAGCCACACGCCGCGAACACTGACCCCCCTCCCACCCGGTAGATCGTTTGGTCGAGGGCTATTACTCTCGATCTGTCATTGGCAGCTGAGAAGAGTGCCAAGGGTAATCGCTGGCTTAAGTGGAGTTACCTACAGTTGGACACATATAAGACACCACTTGCTATGGACATCGACTCTATCTGAAAATTTGGATAGCGCGTATTAGGCTCTATTAACAGCTTCGAAGAGGAGATTCTAGAGCTTCTAGAGCTGGCTATACTCAACCACACATAAGACACCACTTGCTATGGACATCGACTCTATCTGAATATTTGGATAATGATTATTAGTCTCGATTTGACATTAGCAGCTGAGAGGAAAGCTTCTACAGCTACCTATACTCAACTACGCCTAAGTCACCACTTGCTATGGGCATCAACCCTATTCCTCATCTACTTGATAATTGTATACAGCATCTATCTTTCATTCTCACCCGATAAATGAAATTCTAGAACATCTAGAGCAACCTATAATCAACTACACATAAGCCACTACTCGTCATGAACATCGACCCTATCTCCCATCTATACAATAATTGTATACAGCATCTATCTTTCATCCTCATTTGATATACAAGATTCTAGAGCATTTAGAGCCACCGATACTCAACCACACTTACGACATCACTTGCTATGGACATCAACCCTATTCCTCATCTATTTGATAATTGTATACAACATGTATCTTTCATCTTCACCTCATATACAAGATTACAGAGCATCTGGAACCACATATACTCAACCATACCTAAGTCGCCACTTGCAAAGGACATCAACCTTATCCCTCTTCTACCCAATAACTGTATACAGCGACCATCAGTCATACGCACCCAAGAAGAATGCTTCTAGAGCTACATGCAAGGATCAGTTGACTCCCCCAACTTAACAAGACAATAAAGTACAAAAAGCACTCTGACAAAAACACGCATTCCTGCCTCCCAGTCGTTCGTGCCAGCTCGTAAACAGTCGTCCAACTCGTAAAGTATCGCACGATGTCTTCGGTCGGTGGACGCGACGCGAGCTCTTGTCGATCATCTCGGAAGACGCTCTCTGAGCCACGGGACGGAAAACAAACGGTCTTTATAGAAAAGCATAGGCGTGACGGTGACGCAATGCGTCGTTGTAGCGTCTCCGTCGTAAACCTACCCCGTCCTGGCTATTTTTGGAGCGCCGTGGTTCACATGCTTCGCATCCGTTGACGAAAAAATGGACGGTTTGGCCTGCGGGTCGACCTGTCGTCGCGACGCCACCGGACTCGAACGCGATCGCGTTAGCAAGGCCTCGTTAACCTTTTGGCGAAGGGTTGAACGTGGAGCATGGGTTAAACTCGTCGCGAAACTTTGATAAAGTTAAGGTGGTTGCATACGATTACCGAGAAATTCAGTTGTATGGAGATGGGATAGGTATTAACTTAATGGGATTAAATCTACTCGAGTTATCTCGTGCAACGCAAAAACAACTAGATAACAATGTTTATCATGAGGTCGATAAGGCAGGTTGTTTTGTTGATAACGTAGATCGTCCTATGGGTATGACAGATTGCAGAGTTGGTAATGTAGAATACTCATTAAGAGTGCACTGCATTACCGACAAAGTGCTCTATCTTACCAGTAGGTGATCACTTTCTTTACACATCTTTAACATTCTAAGTTCTATGAGTGACAAACGTTTCCTACATGTTAGTACGCGTTCTGTGGAGTCGTAAAGAGACTGAAGTCCGCGAAAATGATTGACTCTGGAGAGGCTCCATGCACCTGGCACCAATCGGGACGACGCAGAGCCGAAGGAAGGTCGTCCTACGGTGGCCAGACACAGCCGCAAAGTTTCCGGCGGTCTAATTCGGTCGGCTCGCGAAGTGGCTCCGCCGAGATCTCGGTGGCACGCTTTTCTCCGACCGTGGCACACGCGTTCGATCATCGACCGAAATAACATTGGCATTGTTCCGTTTCCCTCCAGAAGAACCGGCTTTCGTGGCAAACCGGGTCGACTAATTTCGACCCCTTCGCTCGACACGGAGTGTAATGTCGCGCCTTGTACGGCTGGAACGCTTCCACGTCGATTCGTCGTTTAATTTTTCTTTCTTTTTTTCACTTTTTTTTACGGCTCATCGATCGCTGGCGGAGTCGCGAAGAAAAGCGCGGTACGGTTCCTTGTCGAGGTCAAGGTCCATCACGCGACCGGTTGCCAAACGAACGGTTACGAACGAGAAATTAATTTTGGGCGGTTTCATATTCTTGCATGGAATGTTGGAAGCAGGCAGGAGTAGCGAACTGTTCGAATATCGAAGTATTCGAATAGTTGAGTGTATATTGTGCTGTTTGAGTATTTGAGTAGGTGAATACTTCCCAATTCGAATAATCGAGTAATTCAATACTTACCAATTCGAATAATCGAGTAATTCAATACTTACCTATTCGAATAATCGAGTAATTCAATACTTACC